CACTTCCAGACCTCTCCTGAGAAATCAGCAGACTGGTAGCGAAGGCTCCAGCAGGATTTGAGAGCCATCCTTTGACCACTGAGCTGCCCCCCCTTTTCTCACTCATGGCAGATGCTGAGATCCAAATTCTTAGCTCCTAGGATTAGTTTCCAGCTTGTTCAATGCTCTTTCCAGAGCTACAGGCAGCAACATGAACAGGGATATAAACTTGGATCGTTTAACCTACGTATTCCAGGCATGAAACCTGTGGAGACTGTTTATATCACCATAATTACTTTCATACAGGTTGTTAAAGTCAGATTAATTAGCTTAGGTTACAATGACCTATACAACATGCTTAAAACCCATTTATCCCATTAAAGGGATTTAAAACTCGCCTCCTTTCATGAGATGTCAGTGATTCTTGATTTATGGTTTGGTCATGCTTTAAAAGTAAAAGCAATTACCTCTCTTGCTATGGTAAAAGCTCACTGCCTCAAGGTTGCCAGAATTCATCTATAATTGAACAGCAACAGCTCTGATGTTCAGCTTGACTGACAAAAGCATTGGCTATCGAGATCCTGCCTCGATGGTGTCTGCATTCCAGGGACAAATTCTGTCAGGAACAATTGCACCCCAAACCCATTTGTGCAGGGTGTTTCCTGGCAGTGGCAATACTTTCCATTTATGTATCCTCAGGCTTTTGGGAGGAAAAAAAATAATAAAATCCCTACCCAATTTCCTCACAAGTGACAAGATTTTTTGTTTGAATCCTTTTCCTTTGAAGCCTGCATGAACTGGATTTCAAATTAATTTCTCTGAGAGTTCCTAGAAATATGATGGCTTTGTGATGCACAATGTCCTTGGGGTTTGCATCAGAAATACAGCTGACTTTCAAAACAAAGACATAAACAGGGTAAAACAAGCAACATTGTGACCCAGAAAAGATCCCAGAATCAGTCTCTTTAGGAAAAATATCAAAATTCACACATCTGTCCCAAACATGCTGCAAATACGATTGGTGCCCAGATGGGTTCTGATGGCTACATGGGGGCTCTTGGCTTCAAGCAAATGAAATGTGACCCATTTTGGTTGTACCTCTGCAATGCGAGCAAATTTACAGCAAAACCAGAGTGTTTTGACATCACTGAGACCTGAAAGCTCCCTGGAAGAATCCTCTTGAAACAAACACAAACAAAAATTCTAAAAACTTTTCATATGCAGCTATAAACAAAAAAAATCCCTCACACATGACGGAGGAAGATGGAAATTATTCCCCCTTTTCTGAAGATAAAAGGGACTGAAACTGGCAAAATCTGAAATACTTTAGAGATAATTACATTTATGTTCATGCTCATTAAATTGGACTAGGTGATTATTATCTTTCTCCCCATTGCTGGTTTTGGCCCCTCCTATTAAAGATGGGTCTGACCAACCTCCTACAGATCTTGGAAGCAGTTTTAGGATTAATCCTTGTCCCTGCATGAGTCCATAACACTCAGTGACCTGGAGCTCCCCATTCTCCACCACCACCTCTTCTATCCAACACAAACCCCCTGTCAGAGCTCTCATCTGAGCACAGTTTAAACTTTCCCAGCCCTTTTCCTTCCCTCCAGCCACATGGGCAGTCCCACACATTAATGCTCCATGAAGTGCAGGGTTGGTCCTTTGGCAAGTGGCCACCAAAACTTCCCCCACCTCGGCCCGTCAGTGATACAACCACAAAAATACACAATATTTTACCCATCTTGCCCAACATCAGGCAGGGTTGTCATCAGGGGCACCATAAAGAGGGGAAATGGAGCCAGAATAATAAAAAACTTATAGAAACAAATTGCTTTGTAACTCACCTTCTGTCTCCCCAAAGCTGCATATCTTCAAATCAGTTCCTCACATGAAGGAGGAACGTGAGCCAGCCAGAGCAGTGAATGCAGAGCAGGAGAATGCGACCCCCCAGGACACCAGGCAGGGAATTCCTTTGTAAAAAGCATCCAACAGCATTTACTTCTTCATCACAAACTTCATTCCAGAGGCTGGATCAGAGGGATGTGTATAAAACCTATTCTTTAATCATGATTTCCACAGTTTATAACCCCTTTTTACTCTATACATGTGTTTGTAATTTATACACACTTGATTACTGTGGGGCATTAAGTGTTGTTTTAGACTATTATTCATCATCCCTTTTTAGAGCCACAGCCAATTTCTTCTGTTTCTCAGATGCTTTTCCGCACACCATATGCATTTTTTTAAAAACATTATCTTTGAAAATTGTCCCAAATCACAATAATTAGGTTGGGGTTTTTAATACTAGAGTTTCCTCTGCTAGAACTCAACATCCTCTCTTCCCACCCAGATATCTTTGTATCAGATCAGCCTTTATGGTAAGCAAAGGACCATAACACCCAGACATTTGTCCTTGAGAGCATGAGCCAGTGTCAGCACTAACATCCACGTGGGCACAAACACCTACAATTTATTCTGCAGTTCTGCCACTCTCACAGATGGGATTATTTGCATTGCAAGCCATTAGCAAAAGAAATTTATTTCTAATACTACAGCCCATTAAGTGACACATAATTCAATAATGTGTTACAACAGAATTATCTTTAAAACACAAAGTAAGATCCCTGTAGGAACAAAACAATAACAATTTTTGATATCGCAATTATTAGAGACCTGCTAAAATATCTTTGTAGTTAGGTGAAGAAACATAAAATGACTATTTAGAACAGAAATTTCCTGGGAAATAAAAGTTAAAAAAAATAAAAAGAAGTCAAAACTTTCAAGTTAATGCCTAATTTAATATGTCTGCAATGTGCAAGATAATATTCCTATTAGGAAAGTCAAGAGGAGAAAAAAAAATTACATCTTATAACCACAGCCAAATAACAAAGCAACAATTAAAGATTGTTATGGAGATTGCTAGGCAAAGCAGCTGACTGACTGCTAAGACAAATTTCATTGCACAGTGTGCCTGAGGGCAAAATTCCAGCCTACAGAATTTACACCCAAATTGGGTGTGAAGGGAAAAACAGCCACCTCCATCCAGGATGGGATGGAGATAGGTTCCTTGGCAGCAAGCTCCCTCGCCCTGAAGGCAGCCAAAACTCACACCCAGCTCACCCCCAGCTCCACACTCACCTTTCCTTCCAGCTCCAAGCTGCCTTTGAGCCAGCTGGGGTCACATCCTGCCCAGCACAGCACAGCAAGTGCCATTTGTCCTTCTGTCCTGGAAAATATCCCCAGCCCCTTCCCCCTCAGTGCTCTCCTGCTGTGGGAGCAAGAGAGGGGATGGAGCACTGATCCCCAAAAACCACAGAGGGTGAGACAAGACAAAGAGTCACAACCTTCTGGTAACTAAATATTATATTTTTTTATTACACATTTTTGCTGACACATAAAAAAATTAGGGAAATAGATAAAGGAAGAAATTGGGAGAGAGAGAGAGATAGAGAGAAAGACAGTCTCAGATTTCCTGAGTTCAAAACATCAAGCACACCTCCTCCAAGGAAAGCAAAAGTCTGCAACCAGGGCACAGATATAAACCCACAGGTGATAAACCTCAGTAGCAAAAGCAGCTATTGTGACAAAGTGTGCAGGACAGGAGGGTTCCCCCACTGGAGCACAGATTCAAACAGTGGCCCAAGCCCCCTGAGCATCCTCTGTGCATTTACAGGAGCCTCACACTGATGTAACAGACACAGGACAGTGATGGAACAAACACCATCTTTGTAAATTAAATAGTGATTTTGTCCAGTTGGGTGCAAGAGCACATCACACGAGTAGGATTATGACAAAAGGTTAGAAGTTTCTCAGAAAGGAAAGGAAAAAGTGTCTACATTTAAAGCTCAGAATGGAATCACTTTTAGTTGTTCATCACTGGAAAAGAAATGCATCTTATCAAAGACAGGACACATGGCCAAACCATGGGACTTGGGGGGGGGTGAGGGTTTCTTTCCAAAATATCACAGCCTTTCAAAGCCCAAGGATGTGAAAGACAATGCAAAAAAGGAATAAGGTAGGAAAAATACAGGTGAGTTGCCCAACCACTTGCCACTGGCGAGGGGTTTATGGTAAGGGGCACCAGGGAGGGCACCTGGTGCTCCTGGAATGAAATTAGGGAAGGGGAGCAACCCCAATCTATCAGAATTTGGGCACTGGACTCCAGCAAAGCCAGATGAAGATTGACTGATCTTAGACAAGTGAGCATAATCTCCCCCCAAAGCAGCGGGAGACACAAGAAGGTATCGGGAAAAGTGGGGAAAAAACATGAATTCTTTGTAAACCCAGACTTGAGTAAGAAATTGTACAAAAAGAAGTGACATCAGAGTTTACTAACAATTAGATAAGCACAAGCATATACAGGCAATGCACAGAATGACTCAGACAGACCAAATTAGCAGCTGATACACCCACTAGGACTATTTTTATTACTGTAGGAAGGAAACTGTTCCTCTCTTCATAAAGATCGTGATCTGTTTGCATTCATTTCACCACCCTCCCATGCCAAATAATTTCTGTCGCTTATTCTAGCAAAGAGAATAAATTACAAACTTTAAAACAATACATTACAAAACTTAGCGGGGAAAGGACAATCATTTCTCAGGTTCAACAGCAACAGAATGAAAACACCAGACCCAAATATATTAGGCTGAAGCTGTAGAGAAAAAGACTTGCATTACACAGTTCTAAGTCTCTTCAACAATAGGAATATATTTAACTTCTTAAAAGATTTAAGGTTGGTGATTCTCTAGGGGTTTTTGTTTTGCTTTAGCAAAACATGTTCTGCATCTGTGTTGGAGATGCCTTTAGAACAGGACAGGAACTATAAATTAGACAGGAACTATATAATTTCATGAGGTACCTTACACAGAAAGCAGGACACAAAGACAACAGGAAAACACTGAAATTCCTCAAAAAATGCCCCATCTTGGAATAGCCTTCTGTTTATGTTTATCCACTGCTTTTTCCACAAACATTATCCTCAACACAAAGATTTCCCTCTTTGCAGGGCAGTGTCAAAGCACAAACCAGAGGGGGAAGCAGCAGAAGATGCAGAGGGGGATGTAAGCCCCCTTGCCAGGGGTGTAAAGGCCCTGGGGTCTCCTGGCCAGCAGGGCCTGCAGGACAGCGCCCAGCACAGGGGACAGGTCGGGGGCACAGTGGGAGGGCAGGTGGAGGAGGTAATTCCTCAGCCCCAGGAGATACTCCTCTCCATAGGCCTGCCTGGTGTCTGCAGGGAGGTTCTCCATCAGCTCCTTCTCTTGTTTATCCCACTGCTCAGCCGTGCCTTCGATACCTGCAGCAGCAACATCACAGGATAGCACAGGGTTTGGGCTGGGTTTTAAAAAAAATTAATCTGTAATTAATAGTCAGAGTTGACCTAAACTGGGTCAGTGAGGAACAAACACCACAGCTGGTCAGCAGCCAGTGCTTTTCACTGGAAGAGGAGGATAAGCACGAGTACTTTGTGCTCCACAAAAAGCACAAAGTTCATGCCCCATTTGGCTCCCTGCTCTACCTAAAAATGCTCTCTCACAGCCAAATCAGCATTTTTTCTTTCCCCCTGCCATTTCTTTCTGCCCCCTTTCCACTTTGCCATCCTGTCCTGACTCATTTTGTGAATGTTTCCAATCAGTATTTATTATAAACAACTGAGGACAGACAAACTAAGATGATTCACTTGGGTTGGCCAAGTGCTAAGCTGCCCTTTCACAAGAGACATTAGTATTTCAATAACTAGTTTCCTGAAGGATTAGCTTTCTATTAGGACAGATTTAGAACCGTAATTTAATCTATTTGCCCACCCCATCTGCATAATGTAGGAATGAAAGTAGAGGCTTCTCCAATGGAATTATTGCCTAACTACCAAAAATTAAGCATTGCAAATAAAGAAAAATCTTTAAATAAATATTTAAATCTCAAATCCCAGGACTCAATTTTACCCACAAACCTGAGAACAGCTAAGCAGGGCCCTGAAGGTGAAGCCTCAGGCAGGTTCCAGACAAAGCTGTCAGAGCCCAGAGCCTCACAGGGCCTCTTCCCAGGAGGGGAAGCATTCAGAAAAGTAGCACTTTATAAAAAAGACCAATTTGATTTACATTGACATAAAAAAAATGCTCTGGACAGGCATGGGGTGCAGTGATGGCATGTGCAGCAGGAGATGAGTCTGGATAGGCCCTGCAAAAAGTGCTCAGTTGAAGGAGGAGAAGAATTTGGAACAGAAGGAAGCAGGAGCACATGGGGAAGGAGTGGAGAGGAGAGGTCAGAGGATATTGACAGCAAGCAAGCAGGATGAGAGGTATTGCTGCAGATACTGCCATGCCAGACAGAGCAGCTCAATAAGGAGAGCTGTGATACTGAGGAAGGGAGGAGTGATGGGGCACCTGAAGCTCCCAGGCAGGACAAGTGAGCCATAACACTCAAACTGGCCACACAGTGCTGCTCCTTTGCCAGCTCCAAGAAAGCTGGAGCAAAGAGAAGGCACCAACTGCCTGAATGCTGCCCTGTTCCAAAGCAGAGACAGCTCTGCCCAGGAGAGGGAGGCAGAAAGAACCCAAAATGTCAAACACCAACCTGTTCTGAAGCCTGATGGATGAATTGCCGTGACTTTAATGCCCCATTTGGAAAGCTCTTGCCTCATTACTCCAGAAAACATGGACAGAGCTGCTTTGGATGCCCCGTACGCAGCATACCTCGGTAGTGGAATGCCTCCTGCAGGAGCAATAGAAACCTGATAAACCTCAACAGTGCCTCTTCCCAGCCTTTATTTTCATGATTTAGAAGGGAGATTATAGCACAACCAAAATTATGCCTTTCTCACTGAGGTTAAAGACAAGTCAGTGAGGGAATCATTTCTTGCTAGAGGTTAAAAAAGAGTGAAAGTTGTAAATTAGCAGTTGCCTACAGCAGTTACACTCAGTAACACATGGAAAGAGACCTTTTAGGGCAGAAAAAATAAACTGGACTGCATTTAAGGGTAAAAACTGTTGAAAGTTATGACTGTTGATTTGAGAAACATAGAATGTTTTAGTTCATATAAACAGTGAAGCAATGGTTTTATACTTCAGTTCTTGTCACTGTAACACAAATTTCAATCCCCTACAATAAACCACAGTTAAAACAGGGTAAGTAATCTCAATTCTAGCTTTATAAAGTCAACCTTCTTTCCTGTTCTTTCCAGAAAGGCCAAAGAAAATAATGTAAGAGTGGGGCAAACCTCTGGGGACAAACCAAAGCTGGAATCACACTCCACGAGTGACTGGACTCCCTGACACCCAGTATAGAAACAGACCCCCTGCCTACAGTTATATCCCATCTTTTTCAATCCCAGAAACATTTGTTCAGATGGGAAAGCTAAGAGAACAACCAGTACATTTACAAAAACCAAGTTTCTTTCAGAAAACAGTATCTTCCAAATGCAGAGATTTCCTCTGTCCCCAAAACGGGCAGATTTTCATTTCTTCAGCTCTAGAAAAATACAAACATCTTTAGATTTGAGCATCTTCTTCTTCAGCCCTCCCACTTCCCCCACAAGGTTGGTGTTATCACCACCAGGTTTAAGACCATCACAGCCACCACAGGCTGTGCTGGGAGCAGGGAACACAATGGACAATCCTTTTCTTGAGCACATCCCTCCTCCTCCTGCCTGCATGGGCAGTTGGGCACATCCTGCCTCTCTTTCACATGCTACACACTCATCTCCATGTGCTTGAGTATTTCAAAGGAAAATAGCTCAGATACAGGGGGATTTTCAGGTAAGTCACTGGTGTTATTGAGTATTGTACTGGGGTGACCAAGGTATGACAGGAGCTGTTTACACAGAGCCATTCCCTTGAAGAAGTCAGGCCAATTATATGTTAATTATTCTTCTGTATGCATCTGAATAAGCTGGATTGGTTTGAGCCAATTGAATCACATACTTTTCCCTATGAGGTCAGGCTAACCTGAGCCCAGTTAAATGAGCCCTACACAGACAGGAATAGATTCAGCACAATGAGACCTCACTGACTTCTCCGCTAATGTTTTACCAAAGGACCCCCAGACCCTGCCTTAAGAGAAAACTCCTCACCCAAACCAGCCCGTGTGCAACAACATCTCTGCAGGCAGCTAGAATTTAAACATCAGCTCCTGTAAGGGCAAACTACTCAGCACAGGGATAGATGCATCTATCCCTTCAAGGCAGTTCAGGGGTTCTCACCAGGAATTAAGACATCTGCCCCAAGACACCCACAGTGAGAGCTTCACTTGGGTGCACAGAGGAAACAGGGATCTGGTCTCAGAGCAGCAGCAGCAAAGTTCTGACAATTCAGTCCCAATTTCTCAGAGTGTCAGCAATAAACCATGAACACAGACATGCAAATATAGGTCATATCTGGGATTATAAAGAGAAAACAGTGCCAGAGGTGCAGCCACATCCTCAGCATAAGGGGAACACTGGGGAACACCTTCACAAGTCACCCCAGCAATGCAGCAGGATTGGGGGGGACTCCAGCTGTGCAGAAGGGCACAGAAAAACGCGGGGAGCACATGACCTAGCAAATCCCTAAGAGATCTTACTCCAAAATACTTTCCAGCAGCATGACCTCCTGCTTCTAGCAGGTCTCATTTTCAAAGGAGCATTCTTGCCCCTCAGCTGTTGGCTACCAGATACTGCATTACTGAATTACATTAATTCCTACATCTTAGCATCTCAGCTGTCCTCCTAGAATAAAAGGTCATGTAATAAAGACATGCATATATATGTATATTAAGCAAAATTCATGGGGAAAGAAATGGAAAGCATATGTCAATTTTTAAAAAGGTTTTGGATTTTTTTTTTCATGGAAAAATACCACTTTGCTAATAAGTTAGGCCTAAATATTTCTAAGACATCCAAAATATTTTTAAAGAAATACAGATGCACAGCTCCCAAGTTATCAGCAGATATCACAAACTGAGGTGGTCACAGACTTCTGCCTGAACATGTTATAGAAATACCTGTGATGTACCACCCATATTTACGGAAGCTCACAAAGTTATCACTCATGGTATCTAGAACACAAGATCTGAATTTCACTGGGTGTTTTGTCACAGCATATTTTTAGCCACATTAAACTCTCCCATAAAGGCTGTTTCCTGGGAGTAGTGTCCCAAACTAAAGAAAAACCTGGATTTATTACCTTAACATTTATTCCCTGGGTGTATTGACAACCCAGACAAACCAACACCTTCCTTGGCATTTGCTCCAGGACTTTACTTGGTGCTTTAGCTCAGCTCACCTGCCATGCTGGACATGTTCACCAGCCTCCCCCGCGATTTCCTGAGCAACGGCAAGAAGGTCTTGGACACCTCCACAGCCCCAAAGAAATTCACCTCCATGCAGTGTCTGTAGGTGCTCATGGGGAGCAGCTCCCCATCAGCAGGGAAGCCCAGGATTCCTGCGTTGTTCACGACACCCCAGAGTCCTGGCAAGAGGAGAAAGCATAAGGCTGCAACACACCAGGGAAACAACTCCATAAGGATTGCACCAGTGAGACCAAAAGAGATGATCTGCATGTGTACATGCACATTCCCCACTCCTTGACCAGTCACTACCATCTTCACATATCCCAGAAAACAGAAATCATTTAAGGAAATACCCTGACTCCCCAAGACTTTACCCCAGAAATGCCCTACACACCTAAGCCAGCGGTGGAGAGATGCACCTGCTAACCTGCTACATCAAGACTTCCATTGTAAAGGGGGGAAGAAAAAAGCTGTACCTGCATTTTGCACCTTCTCTGAGACTCTCAGATAGGCCTCCTTGACCTGAGTGGTGTTGGTGATATCCAGCTGCAGGACAGAGAGTCTCTGGGAACAGGAGCGCCGCAGCTCCTCCGCCCCAGGGCCGTCCTTGTTCAGAACCCCAGCAAACACAACAAAACCCAGGCTGTCCAGGTATTTGGCCAGTGCATGTCCAATCCCAGTGTCGCTTCCTGAAAGCATCAAAAAAACAAGGAAAGCAAGTCTGTCCTACACCACCATTAAAAAACATATTAAAGAAATAAATACACACATTGGGAAGCCATGGGAATCTAAACAAAAATATGATGACAAAGTCCCTGAAATACATATGTCAGTAGAAAGGAAGGTTCAGATCTGAAGTTTGAGGAGCTGGACCTTTAAATGCTCCTCAAAGACAGGCTGTGTTCTGACTCAGAGCTGGTGTAATCAGCTCACCCTCTGCCACTGACAGATGCTCTGACTTTGCACATAGAGAAGAAATAAAGCCCTACTTTGGTTTTATACAAATATTCAGACTGAAACCTGATAACAAATGTATCTAAGAAAAAAAACCAAAACACACTAATGTTTTACTTTATAGCCAACAATATATAGCCAACAGACAAAGCAATTATAGGGCTTTCAAATTCAAATTCTTGGATTCTATTCCTTCATTCTAAGAAGTAGCATTATTTCATTCACACATCTACCACACAGATCCCTCAGATAAGCACTTATTATTACAGACTGTAACCAAGCCAAAACAAAGCAACTGTTGCCCTACCTGCAAAGCATCCCAATGCTTTCAGAACCTAAGAAAGCTTCCAAATTACCTTTTTGTGCTAAGTCAGCTATTGAATTCATGCAAATTTGCATCAGAATTTCTCTTATCCTCTCTATCCTCTTCCAAACTTATTCCCAAACTTTGTCTATATAAAGCACTGATCTAGCAGCTGCAGGAAGCACTATTAGAGCAAACAAAATGAAGGATATTTAACAAATAATTTGATTCACGAGTCTCTCCCTGTGACAGAGTATTTTTGCTGCTGCTACAGAATAAAAGACAGAATGGTTTGGGTTGGAAAGGACCTGGAAGATCATCCCATTCCAACCCCCTGCCATGGGTAGGGAAACCTTCCACTGTCCCAGGTTGCTCCAAGCCCCATCCAGGCTGGCTTTGGACACTTCCAGGGATCCAGGGGCAGACACAGCTTCTCTGGGCACCTGTGCCAGGGGCTCCCCACTCTCACAGGGAAAAATTTCTTCCTAATATCTGATCCAAACCTGCTGTCTTTTAGTTTGAAGCCATTGTCCTTTGTCCTGTCACTTCATGCCCCTGTCAAAAATCTTTCTCCAGCTCTCTTGGAGCCTTTTCAGGCACTGGAAGGGGCTCTGTAAGGTCTCCCCAGAGCCATCCCAGCTCTCTACATCTGTATTCACAGGAGAGGTGTTCCAAGTCCTCTGATCATTTTTGTAGCCTTCTCTAGACTCACTTCAGCAGGTCCATGTCAGAAACCCCCCTCCCCTGCTGCCCAGAGTTTTGGAAGGAGACCAGGACACAGTTGGATGTCTGGGCTGCCAGCACACGGTGCTGGGTCACATTCAGCTTCTCATCAGCCAACACCCCCAAGTATCATAAGTCAACTTTAATTGTTCTTTAAATTCTGGTTTCCATTCTTCCCATCTACAGTGAAACTTACTCCATAAGGAAAGAAACTCATCAGCCATGTCCCCACCAAGCCTCCCAGTGAAGTGATACAGGCAGTGACAGGGAAGGAGTTTATAGGGGCTGTGCTTCAGGAGCATTACAGAGGACAAGGTTAGGAGGAAAATTAGGAATTTAATACATTAATAAAGGTTTTAGTAAAGCATCAGCCTGTTCCACAATACTGCACCACATCCTCCACTACAGCAGAGAAAGCTTCTGGATGCTGCTGTGCCCTGGGATCCAGGATCTCCTGCAATAACAATTTACTACATCAATGTTAAGTTTCAAACTCTGGCTCTGGAAATCTGAATGTGAGGCAAAGGACTGGAACTCCTGCCAGATATTTTACTATTTTCTTGTTTGTGAAAGAGCTGAAATATCCCCTTACTTAACCCTACTATAAACTTCTGTGATTTTGGCACACCAAGAAAGATATCAGAACTATTCACTGGTCTGCTCCTACATTCAAAATATGTAGTCAATAGAATTTGACTGCCAAAAGGACTCATCATAGTCATGTTAAATACTCTTTTCTGGAATCTCTCTTTTAACTGGGGCTTTAGTCTTGAAAGGTGAAAAATATTAATTCCAGGTAGCTTGAAAAACACACATACTAAATGTCTGGAACAATCAGTGCATCTTGAAAAAGTAGAAAATAATTACATATGCTCTATTTAATTCCTAAGAAGAAAAAAATCATCTTTTTAGCATTTTTGAAGTCTGCAATTTGCTGAAGATGCACCAGAGCACTACGAATATCCCATTAAGCTTCTCCAGTCCTGGCCTGTCAGAATAAACCTGCATTCTTTGAATTCCCTAAAGAGACATGAAGAAGCCTGTAAATATCCCAGACACAACAGATTTCTAAGTTTGGGGGTGGAGTGACTTTCCTTCTTTTTCTTTTAGTGAAAAAAGATCAAATCTTTCAGATCTTTTAGATTTTTCAAATCTTTTAGATCAAATCTTTCCTCTTTCATGATTCCCAGCAAGTACACAGCCACAGCTACATATTACCCAAGTTTTACGATCCAGCTTTAACTTGAAAATGGGCAGAATACAACACAACTTGAACTTGGGATGGGCACAGCAATTCCAAGAAAGCCATAAAAGTTGTTTTTATCGTTGCCTGATGCTGGGTTTGTCCCTGTATTTTTTTATTCCAAAACAAGTATGATTTGAGTTTCAGACCTGTTATTGAAGTCCAGAGAAGCTTTACTCTTCCAACTCTTACAATTCAAAGAGTCTCAACAGGGGAAAAAAAAAACCAACAGATACTTCCCTCCCAATCACACTCTTTCTTCTTTGCCAAAAATAATTTGTGGGTTATGAGAAGACTTATTTTACGGAAAGCAGTCACTTCTGGCTGTGACTGACCCATTACTGAGAATTTACAATTAACTCATGCTGAACATGCACCAAATCACTTCCCCAAGAATGGAGAGACCAAATTAACTGGAGAAATTCATCCCAGTGCACACAAGGGACAGAATTTTACAACTCCTGTCTCTTCAGATCTTGGTAGTAATTTAATTTTTAGGGAAGGTGGCTATTGCATTTATCACTAAAGTGTTTGCATGCCAGGAGCTCCTGTTTAAGGATATTGGAACTCTTGCTCCCAGCAAGAGGATCCAGAGCAGAGTTTCAGCAATGCCTTTGAGCCTGCTCACATGCCCACAGTTATCCCCATGAAAAAGCATTTTGACCACTGGGCACAGTTTTACCCCTTATCCTGGGAACTGCTGGCTTAAATAAATAATGCAGAGCAGCACAGGTACCAGGAACATCCAAAGAGGACCAGAACAACATGTGACAGAATCCAGGGAGAGCAGCAGAGCTTGCCCTAGCCTCTGGCCAAAGGCTCACAAGGAATATGTGGCAGGTGCTCAGGACACAGCCACGCTCCTCAGCTCAGTGGGGCTGAAAGGCAGAGGGAAAAAGAAAGAATAATTAAAATCACCGCTTTCCACAAAGTGCCTGCCTGAGGACTTGTCCAAACTAGAGAAAATTACACCAAAATCTACCTAAAGGCACCTTGCAGCTGCAAATGCACAGGGACACCCATCCTGTAGTTGGTATGGGGAAGAATACCACAATCAGAGCAATTTAACCAAAAGAGATGTTAAGTAAAACTTCTGTTTCAGCTAGTGGAGGTGTTGATGGATTGCACAGGGTTCCAGTAAAGACAAAGAAGAGTCTCCTCAAATTAATCAGCTGTCAGAGATGTCCAAACTTGCACTTCTTCACTTGCACTTCTTCACTTGCACTTCTTCAGGACAGTTGCAGCACAGATACAAGGAAAGCCCATTCCCTTACTGAGTTATACCAAACATTCTTAATTCCCTTGTATTCTTCTAATTCAGACTCCAGAGCAGATAAGCTCCCTGAGAGTACTTTTTCCTGAAGATCTGCAGTCTTAAAAATAGCAGGGAGATGCCCAAGTGCAAGCACATCCCCAGAGTCTGCAGGGGTGGAAAGGATTGCTCCCTATTCCCAGTACAAATATCCATCTGACACACTTGCAGGGAGAAAAACAGCTGGCAGACAAACTGCAAGGGGAGAACTTGCTGCTCATCTGGTCCTCTCTCAACTTTTATACTTAATCCCTGTATTAAAGCTTGCTAGGCAAATCTAAATTATTTCCAGGTGTCCCTATAAAACAAAATTAAATTCTGCTAGAAATTGCTATATAAACCAAAGCAACTTAATTCAGCATTCCAGAGGGGGGAAAAAAATACAGAAAATAAAACAAAACCCAGCAAATTAAGAATGCAAGAAGCAGTAGGCAAGCACTCCAGTTTAAAGGTTTGATTAACACAAATAAGTAATACCTAAATAAACAACACCTAAAGTTTTAGAGGAAACAGGAGAAAAGCCGTAAAACTACAAAAATGCCATCCCTGCAAAATAGAAGTGGGTTTTGAGTAGATCAGAGTGGAAATAGAGACTGAATTAATTAGCTCTGAACTTTCCCTGCTAGTGAAGGGAATTACTCCCTCCTAAATGATTTCTCAGAGGGTTTCAAAGAGAAGGCACCAAACATCATGTGCATGATAGACACAGCGTGCACTATGTACACACACCCCCAAAAGACAACCGTACATCCATAACCAGCGCAATTACATCAGGTAAACAAAAGTAATGTATGAATGTAGTGTTCTGAGGGCTCCCGGGAATTACTGTTTCTCCTAAAAAAAAAATCAGACCATCATAAGTATTCTTATGCTTCTTGCACCAGTTAATTTCGCAAGTATGTCTAAAAAGCTACTTGTAAAGATTAAATGAGACACTAAAAAATAATAGCATCTATTAGGATGCTTTTCTGCTTAATTTCAGAGCACTTATTTACCTGGAAAAAAACATCTCTGCCGAGGCAAATAAAACAAGCAGAAAAAGAAAGGATAAAAGGAACTCTCAAAAGCATGCACTAACCCGAGGACAAGAAGTTTTCCAGCGCACTTGTGAGAAAAAGCAGGCTTTGTTGGCTCCTGTGCCCCGGCAGCACACCTTACCTGTGATGAGCACGGCTCTGTCCGCCACGGGCAGCAGGTCGCTGTCCCCCGGGCACACGGAGCGGGCGAGGCACACTGCCACCAGCACCCCCAGCAGCCCCCCGGCAGCCCCCAGCGGGGCCACACACAGCAGGGCGGCCAGCAGGCTCCAGAGCAGCACCTTCGCCTTGCCCAGCGGGCTCCTGTGGGCCCTGCGGAGCACGGTGACCCCGAGGAGCGCGGTGACACCAGCGCAGAGCCACCCAAGGGCGCTGCTGGCCGCAGCATCCATCGGCAGCGGGGAGCAGGCGGCACTCGCACCCCAGCGCCGGCCGGCTGAGAGCAGGTATTGCCAAATGCAGAGTGTGTTATATAGGAGCAGGGGGTGGGGCAGAGGAAGGGGACTCTCTTTAAAGGTTTGACATAATCTCACTTACCCTTGGCATCAGCAAGGAGCAGGAGTCTTCCTTTGCTTACCTTTCATTCCTTCTGCCTGACAGCTCCACCTTCTGAACAATGTGCTGGCTGGATAATGATTGACAGCGCCGGGAATGGACATGATGTAGCAAGCGCTGGCTCCAGGAAAAGATTAACTGCTATATTCTTTTTATGTCTTTAAAGTACACTTTCCTAGACAGTGAGAAAAGGAACAGTTTCCTTTATGAGAAATAGTTGGGCTTTCCTGCTTAAAAAAACTTAGGGTGTAGCTTCAGTGGAACTGGTTTTTGATGGGCAGTGACAAAAAAATTAGTCAGGCCAGGGTTATTTAATCTCTGGAACACAAACTATCTTGGGCTTTATCACATGTGGATAACCCTCCTCTTTCAACAAAAAGCCCCAAATTACCTTCTCTGCTTTAATGTCCACCTTTACCTATTTGGCTGCTCCACATTCAGCAAATACCTGCAGCAAATTGACATGCAGAGGGTGCTGGGAGGCTGGGAAGAGGTGATTGCTGGTTTGCCATGAGGGGCACACAAGATCAAGTCTTCAGTGATGACATTCACCTTGGTTTTGACAGGAATCACTGCCTTGAGAGCCATAGCAAGTTGTGTAGGGGGGGGGAAAGTTATCAAATATATTAAAGAGATTTAATACCCACTGTGTTTTTCTGAAAGTTATTTAAACAATAAAAGAAAGTTAAAAGCCAGCCAGCCAAAGGGATTGAGATACAAATGAGCCATGCATATTTAACCCAGTTTAAAAATCCCTAGTGACTGATTTGAGAACAAGCCCACGTTGCCACAGAGCGGGCTAACACGCGGTAGCTGGTTTTCCAAGGCAACACGGTGCTGATCTATCTGATTTCAGACGTGAAAAATTGAAGCATGTGGTGCAAACCTGACATGAAACAGAGCACATTCCCATTCCATTATGCCTTTGGGGTTTTAAGAGATTACAAATCTCTTAAATATACACTTTACCAGCCAGTGAAAATGTTTACATACCTCTGTAGGTAGTTTACATCAGAGATGAAGTGACTTTCTTAAAGGAACATCACCCTCAAGGTCCGCTCATCATTCATTACTCTTGTGAACAGTCATTCACCCATACTCCTACCAAAGCACAAAAGGAAAAATATTTTCACTTCTCTTTGACATTTGCTGCTTCTGCTTTTATTAGCATGCTGCTCTTGAGGTCAGCTATACCTTGCTGTCCATTAAGGTGTCTTCTTAAGTATTTTCCTGGGGAATTTTGCTCTCTCCATCACTGGTCTTTGGCACACAATTTAGATGATCACAAATGTGCTGGCACTTAGAGCATGAGCTCTCACACTTGAGGGTACAGTGAGATGGAGCTCTTCCATAGCAGGATGAGGAGCAGAAGTGGTCACCTCCAGCCTGTGGGGATGAGGTGGGCAAGGGGCCACACTGGGGTGGCCACCATGCCTGGTACAATGCCATGCCTGCAGAGCAAGCTCCATTAGTCCCCCTCTGCTCCAGTCTCCCCTACCACATCCCCCACAGAAATGTGTTTTTCCCCTCCCTCAGACACAGCTGGCAGGGTGGGGATGTTTGGAAAGCTGGGGTGCCACACACCTTCCTCATACACCCACCCACAGTGGTGCACAGACACACCACCTCTCTACACCCACACCCAGCAGAACAGCTGAGGGACTGCCTCTGTCTGAATCAATGCTCAGTTTATCATTTTAATAGAAAATACAACCATTGAAGGCTTCCTTTAGTGAGAAGTTGACCATGTGTTCACCTGCTGGGTGAATAAAATTCCACGGTAATGTGTAGATCATACACGTCAGAAAGGTTATGATCTAAAACTGGCTGAAAAATGCTAGTGTGCAGTACCCACTTCACAAAGCCTCTGCACTTTCTCTGACACCAGCAATGACAGATTGCTGCTTGAGGATTTTTCAGCATAATTTTGCCACAAGATAAGTTTTATCATCCCGTGCCAACTTCTCCTCTCAAAAAAACTCCTACTTTTCTCTTTACCCCTTTGAGATGTCTCCAGCTCTAAAAGCTGTATATTAACCCAGGATTGCAATTGAGTTTGCATTCCTCACCTTCTTCTTATAGTTTCCTGGAAAAAGGAAGGCTCCTCCAACTTGCCAGGATTTTGCATCACCATGACATCTGTGTTACAAGAATGGATTTTAGTTAATTGATCTGGGGCTAAGCTCACCCTACCCTTGCCAGGACAGTTCTTTCTTCCATGAGAAGAGGATGGCTTTGCAAAGCCATCTCACAACAACTGTCCCTTGATACCATAGCAAACTGCAGAGCCTGTACTAAAGTCTGGACCCTGATTCCAGAGTCAGTCCATGCCAGTGGCAAACAGCAGCAGAGAAATGATCCTGAGCATCCTCCTGGCAGCTGTGTCATTGCTCACCCTCACTGAGCACTCTGATCTCTGTGCCTGTTCCTGATGCTTCTCCTGGGGACTTTGCAGATTTCACATGTGCCCTACCATCTAAATCTTTTCATCTTTTCACGTGGTGACTCTGGAAAGTCAACTCTTCAATGGCAAAAGAAGATGGCTTTCCTGGAGAATAATCACCCCATGGTAATCAGCAACATGAACAGCCAGTCTCTAAAAATTCAGCTTGCCTTCCTTCAAATCCTCCAGTCACAGCACCTTTCACCTGCTGTAGTATCCCTGCAGAACACTGGCCCCAGGACAAAGCAAGGACACCACTCCAGTGTGCAGGACCTTTATCAGAGACCTCAAATTTTTGCCTCCACACTCCCATTCTGGAGGCTAAATCACTTCTTGAAAAACATTCACTTAGTTCCTTCCCATTTCTTGAAGCTCTTGTCCTGTCATACTGTGCTGGCTCTGTGTTTTTTAGCATGATGGATGCAGCCTGTGCTTTTGGTTGCTGTTCTTAACACAGAAATAAAAGAACAAAAGAAAGGTTCAGGTTCCCCAGTTCCTTTGAAATGTGGTGAAGCCGAGCCTGGTCACAACTTCTTTGAAATACACCACCAAGTTCTTCCTTGGTTCTGTTTTGGTAATGAGCTCTCTTCTGTCTTTGCTTTTCATGGATCCCTTTTGAGTTCACTGATTTTCCTGATGTATATAATTTTTTAAGCCTCTGTGACTTCCCGGCATAGTAAAAACTTCCAGTTCAACCATGAGGTTTTCAGGCATGTCTCTGTTACCTTATCCTGCATTGCTTCTCAATTCTTCGGCCACTTTTCCCATGAGCTTTCTTTGCTCATTATTTCCAACAGTTTTATAGTCAGTATTTTTTCCTTTCAGCATTTTCCCTTCAGCCAGAAGAACCACGTGTCATATCCAACAGCTGCTGTCCCCACTGGACTCCACTGATATTCTGTCCCAAGTGGAACATCAATTACACTGTCTAGAAGCATGAAGCTCTTTTCCTACACATCCAATCTCTGTTTCAGCTTTCTCTGCTAGTCACAGATTTGTTTTTAATTTCAAGTTATAATTTCCAACAGAACATGTCAATTTACTATTTTATCTGTTTTGCCTGCTGATTCAGGCTTTTTTCAGCTGTGGCTCCTGAGAGCTCCTGCTGCCAGTGCTTCCTGTTCTTTTGTGCCTTGGGTCAGGGCTCTGCATTTTCAGGTTCTGTAGGGAGGTTTTTCCTGGAAAATAATTTCAGCACAAAACAGGTTGGAATCTGTTTCAACAAATGAGTCATTAAGCAAGACAGAAAACATAAGTAAGTACATATAGGAGCAGGCAAAAAAAAAACAAAACAAAAAACAAACTTACTTTTATTGCTGCAGCTTCTGAGAGAACATAAACATCTGGATTTTGGTGGACTTAATGACTACGTGAACACTCGTCAGGCTGTCAGTCCTGGATGCAGAAATTGTTGAACTTCCATAAACAAAACTCTGCAGAGCTCCTGTACAAAGGTTGAGACAATCCCTGTTTTTTCTTCATGCCCTCAGCTTGGAGCACGTGAATTGTCCCAGTAAAGACAACAAAACCATTACTCTGCCTAAAGCCAGAAATGCAGCCAAGTACCTTTGTGAATTCAGATATCTGAGCTCACAGGCATGAACTGAATTAAAGCAAAAAAGGATCATGCACAAGTGAAAAGAAAGCTGTACAACCTCTCCTTTGTCTTCAAACTGTTTGTTTAATAGACCCTTAGGGAAAATAATTCCTGTCAAATAAAGTGTATATCTATTAAAGAAAAGTAAGAAATATCTTTTACCTCTAAGCTGCTGGAGATTTTGTTTTTAGCAATGTAATAATGGTAAATATTGTAAATTCAGAGATAGATCCTGAAGATCATCCCTTGGCAGTGAACAAAACCTGTAGCCCATCATTTCTAAAAATTCAATACAAACCAAACACAATAATACTAACACTAATAATAATAATATTATAACAGCAACAATAACAACAATTTCCTCAGCTAAATCTCCTGTTATTTTCTCAAATGCAAAGAAGAGCCTCAGAGTGAAGAATGTCTGTACTGATGGCAAATTTGGACCTGTAAATGAAGCCAAGGGCTGTAATTTCTGCCTCAGTTTTTACAAGAACTCTAATCACCCTTTGTAAATTTTCTGCAATAGACAAAACAGCAGAGAAATCATTAAAATTATGAGCACTCCTTTGTATTTGCAAGGGAGGTTTTCTCCCTGAACTCTCCACACATCCATGTATCTCTGGGCTTTCAGGAAGAGCTAAAGGGGGATTGCACTCTTTCCAAAATAAGTAATTTTTATCAACCCAATTGTGATTATTTTCCAAGAAGAGGATAGAAACAGAAATACTAAAGGCAATTAGGCACTCTTTAGGAAGTTAGCCAAGAATCATCTCCAGGTTATCCTCACGAGAAATTACTCTTGCTTGCCTTTTTTTCTGTCATCCAGTAACATGAAACAGTTTTCAGAGAACCATCGGTGTGAGAGAAGAAAAGATACCACTTTATCTTAGTGCACTTCTCTGACAGCACAGACTGTTCCCTGAAATTTCCTCTGGTATATTCAGAGTAACATCCCAGCCCTGCCTAGGACAGAGCACAGCATAGTGCTGCCTCAATAAATGAGAATTAAAGATATAAGTTATACTCTCAATGGGAAGTTTAGTTTGTTTTTCCAACTAGATTTTCATTATATCTCCCTATTCCCTTCCCTTCTCTGCAGCTTTGCCTCTCTGAAGTTGATGGCAGCATCTCTGTGCTTAGAACACAAAGGATTGACACATTTTCATAGCCCACAGCCTGATCGTTTCTTTGCAGGTGCTTCCTGAAAAGCAAATGCAGCTTTGCCTGCCTTACTTCTGATGCTCTGCCCTAACCACAAGTCATACCAACCACATCTACATCAGATAAAAACTACTCTTTACATCATCTCTCTGTAACTGTTCCTCCTGCACATCTTCAAACATTGGCAGGTTGGAGACAAATCTGGTTTACATCCAGCCTTTTCCATTACATCTTAATATTAGACCACAAAATGCTTTCAAACATTTAGGTATTATCTCTGCAAAAGTCATATAATTCTGGTGCAGTTAAATTCATAAACAGCAATGTAAATATAGAGGTAAACCCAGAAAATTAGGAAAGCAGGGTAATCAAAAGTCTGATTAAAGCATGTGTGGACAAACAGAAACTGTCTTGAAGAGTCCCTTTGAAGTGGGGGGGATTTACAACATCACCAACATAACTTGCCATTCACTGCAGAGAGTGACAACATTAAAAATTAATCACACACAGCTTAGAGTCCCAGAACATGTCTGAGCTTTGAGAATGGACTCTACAAAGGGGATGAAAGAAAATGGGTGGTAGCATCTCCCCGTTGTGATTTGGGTTATTAACTACGCACATCTGCCACGTGCCTTCCCTCCACCTGCAAACTCTCAGAAACATCTCCGCCTCTCATCAGTGGAATTTGCTTATTTTTAGATTTTCCTCGGAGTTACATCAGCCAGCCTTTGAAATGGAAGCCAAAGCAAAATGAGATGAAAAACGAGCCATGATTCAAAAAGCATTAAGCAATCAGCCATGACAAAGTGACACCTGCCCTCAGCGCACTCTGTTTGCTGTCACTTGAAGGACAAGCCCCTCGTTTCCAAAGGCTGAAGCCGTGTATTTTTCCTGTTGAGGAATTGTGACCTCACTCTGTGTGTAATCAACAACTTACATTATGGTTGTGATTGAATGCCACGTCCCGGATGTCCCCGATTTCCCCTTCGGTGCTGAGATCTGAAGGACGTTCCCATTCCTGGCGTTTCTCAGCCATTTTTGAGCTGCTTGTAAATGGTTACAATTGTCAGGAATGCCTTGGTGACAGATGATCCTGCCATGGAGCAGGGGGACAAATGACATCTCAAGGTCCCTTTCAGGAACTGGTGGGCCTTTGATGGTTCTGTGGCAGGCAGCATTTTAGTTAAATGGTGTTTTTTTCTCTGGGCAATCCACTGGCTGTGAAAAATCTGTGTATTCGAGGTAATTTTTTGTTGGTTTGCTTCCCTTTATTATATTGTCCATCTTAAATATTTTTTATCATGCAGTAACCTTTACCCTGACTCAAAAACTGCTTGGATGTAAGCAAATTTAATCCCATTAAAATCACCATGACTATCCACTCATAAAACTATATAGACAATTTAATAAGTTGCTGAATGACAGTCCTGAGACCCATTAGGCCAAAACGTTCCCCAAGAGCCCAAACTCACAGACACTTATGCACATTGCTAAAAATAAACACAGATATTCACATGCAAGTAAAGAAAGAAATACTCACAACCATGTTTTTAAACATGCACACCTGCAGAATTAGAGCCTGCCTTAAAGACTTTCCCCACCTGGATTTGAGATATGATAATCGATTCATGCAAATGAACCTACATCATAAAACCATTTATTTCTACTTTCCAGGTGACACAACTAGCAAGTGCAACTTTAAAATGAACTTCTTCAGGTTTTAAAGTCAGTATTAAAATATTGTCAGGCTCCAGGTGGAGGTCATTCCCAAACAGGTACAAATTCGATGGGGATGAGTCTGCAGAGAGACTTCAAAATAATCACCCCTGGTAAGGGATCCCTTTCTGAGCTGTGCAGAGCTCATAACTTGTTATTAATACTGTAAATTATCGCTTCACTTTTATTTTTTAATTTCAAAACTGTTTTTAACAATATATACGACAGCCTCAGGGCAAGTGTCTCTCTTGGAGGCACGCAAACTTTGCTGGAATCGCTAAGGGGTAGGCAGGCGTAGCTTCAAAGGCAGATTTGGGACCTATAACATTAATTCATCCACCAAATGGAGCTCCAAAATCCATTAAGGAAAAATAACTAGTAACCATCTGTCTTTATTCATCAGGCTGAAAGCAGTTAATCAAACCTAGTGGACATTTTTACTTTCTCCTTTCTCTCTCAACAGCTTTGAACACAGATGCAGCCTTTCCATAATTAAGCTGAGCATTGTAGATCCTAGACAGATTAATTCTGGAGTGCTTGTCAAAAATGTCAGATGGCAGACAGGTTCTGTGTCTTGTCCCTGGGATTTCTGGGATTTTTATATTTGCATTTACATATATAGGCAGATTCAAACGCAGTTATTAAAATTAATAACCATTTATAATCCTTAACCCATTCTCTACAGTGTGGTAGAGTTTTCCTCTATGTGTTAGGGATGGAATCCAGGACAGGACCTCAGCAGTGAACAAAAGTCTCCAGGAACTGAGCTGAAATATGGGCTGCAAAGGGAGCTGATTTTGCTCACCACTGAACCACACTGAGGGGCAAAAAAATTCTGTAAACACATTGACAGTGTTCTGAAACAGCATAAAGGTGTTCCAGGTTACAGGAGTTCTATTCTAACGGGCTGGAATGTCATTAAATAGCTCATTCCTAAGAGCTATTCCAGGCACATCTTTCAGGAAAGTTCTCAGACAGTTTCTACCAATTTAAAAGGATACACACAAGTATCCAAGGAGGCTTTTAGTTCTCAGTTACTTTTAACGATGAGCTCATGTGTGGGTTTGATTCCCTTTTTCTGAGTTCTAACATTTTAAAGCAGAGAGCATATCCAATTCTTAAGGATTTTATGTTACCTGTTAAATATTACGTTTTTTCAATTTAAGCCTACAGTCAAATTTATGGACTGAAGCTAGGATTTAAAAGACCCTAGGAGTAATTTTTGCTTCATTCAAACTGGGTTTTTATTTTTAAAGAAAGTGAAAGATCACTTCAAACACATCTTTGTGCTGATAAAAAAAGAATTTCAATGTCATCTAAAGGTTCAAAGTTTAAAAGTTCTCACCATTATAAATAGTTACAAAGAAGAGTCGCTTACCATTACATTTGATAAAATAATGCAACTCGAAAATTAGATGTGCCAAAAAATGAGAGATGGTCCCAGAGAAAGTCACTCAGTGACTGTAGCAGAGAGACAGGTAGGGGGTTTTGCAAGCAGCCATTAAAACTGGACCACAGGAAGTACTGAGGCAAATCAGTAGATACTAATCCAACTTAACTAGTAAAATTCAAACAAAATCAAAAAATCTATATGGAATATGTTTGTATCCTTAGGAGTACAATTTTCCCTTCATATGTTTAACTGCTGGTAACTGATTCATCCTTAGTCTTCTGTCCCCACAGTCACATTGGAAATGGCAAATGAGGCACCCAACTACATTTGGAAAAGTGGGAAAGAATTAAGTATCTCTAGATACCAGAATCTACAGCAGAAAATAGAGAAGAAAGGTATTTTGAAGAAAAACTCTGCTGGCACAATCTCTCTTTCAATGGCACTTCTTTCCACCAGAATATTTATCTGTCATAAATGCTCCAAGATGTAAATACCATTCCCACAGAACACATCAGTGAACTGAAGCAGAGAGATCATCCTCTATGTAGTGAAAAATCCCAGCTGAGATCTCCTGGAT